TCTAGCAATGATACTATCAATAATCGAGTATCTAGTTGACCCTGGGACTGGATTTGCGATAGTTTCTTGAGTTGAAGTGATATTCAAGAAGGTTTGTAAGATCCATAACTTTCTTTGTTAATCATATTTGTTTGTTAGTTGGACTAAAGTTTCAATGATATGTGCTTCTCTTTTTTTAGTGATCTATAAGAGTTTGTGTTTTCTCATAGATACATGTTAATCACATGATATGAAGAGTAGGTTACTATATATGATGTTAATATATTTTATTAAATACTGTTTTGGGTAGTGTTGAGTTATGTGATAGTTGTTCCTTGCTTATTTGAGTAATACTTGTTTATTTGTTATTTGGTTTGTTTATTTATTCTTGTTTATGTAAACAAGATATTGATCTGTTAATTATAAGTTATATTACTATTTTAGATCTATTGTATTTTGATGACTACTATTATATGTAAGTGTAAAGTGTAAACACATAAACAAGGTGGTGATCTTTGGACTGTAAGCTGTATTACTATTTTTAGATCTATTGTTATTGTTGATAGCTTCTATCACATGTGTTATTATTTTTAGATCTGTTGTGCTATTGTTAACTGCTATCATGTGTAAATATGAAGTGAAAATATGTAAACAGGTTGTTTATTAGACACATAAGTGGGTTGCTATTCAAACTGGCAAATGTGATATGTTCGCATTACGTGATCTAAGATATGGAGTATTGTTGTATTGTTTATGTCACTCTCTACTGTTGAGTAATTGAGACTTGGATGTTCTCCTAAGTGTTGTAGGCTCTGAACTTTAGCTGATTTATTGACTGAAGTTATTGCCTATAGTACTTCTCTTAGTGTCAAGAAAGGTGTTAACCTGCACTGACCTGGCTAAGAACTTTGTGGAGTTGAGGTTGAGCCTCCAGGAGCTTATTGTGAATCAGTTTTCTTGGGATTTTCTTTTTTTCTGTAAAGAAAAACTATACTGTGATAGTTTTTTCTCTAATACTTATCCTGTAATTGTTATTTTTGGGTTTATACGAGTTAAAGCATGGTTGGGACAATGTTGAAGTGTGATTGGAAAAGTAATATATTATACAATATATCGTAATATAATCACGGATATGAGGTTAAAGTATGGTTAAAGTACTGTTGAAGTGCGGTTATTCTACCCTTCAATAACCAGGATTGGTATTACATCCGAAATAGAAAAAAATATCTATTTAATATATACTCAATGATGGCGGAGCGCTGAGCCTTTGACTCTCCGATTTACGCTTTCATATTCACCTCAGTTGAATTCTCGGATTCCGTCTGGTTAAAAATTTGTATGAATTGATTATGAATTTTTTCCCATTCATTCATGAGACCATCTAGCCATGCAGTACTCAAATCACTTTTTAGTATACCGCAACGTAATAACTCTTCACCGACTAGCCTATCCCGATCTGTTAAAAATTTATGATATTTTCTGGTATCTTCGTTCCTTTTTATTCCTCCACGATAAAGGCGTATATCTCTTTCCAAGTCAGCAGGAAAGCATCCCATGGCCCATCTATTTTTCTCAGCCTCAGTAATGACTGAAAATTTCTCAGGATCCATTCCATGTTCGATGGCATATTGGCGTAAGCCTGCCTCTGGCTGATAAAGGTGGGTTTTGTTTGGTACACTTACTTGAATTTCTGGCAAACTTTGTACGGCAATTATAACTTTCTTTTGATCAATACGAAAAGGACAATTAAGAAAATAGTGATCATCTTTACCGGGACAGCTCCAATCACCCCATATACCTCGATGTGTATGCACCTCTTTACATATCGGGCATTTAGCTTCTGAATCGGTATATTTAAATACATCCCGATGCCATGCATTCGAATTAGTGTAAGACAAGAAAGGGAAACGTTTTTGTACTGCTTCATGGATTATACTTTTTTCTTCGGGAAACTTAGAAATCTTGATAATACAGTCATAACTCATATAATCATCAGTATCCTTTTTGAGTCCGGTTTTTTTCTTAAATATCTTTTATATAATGTGGAGCAAATTTCATCTGTCAAAATGCTTGGTAAACTAGTTAATTTAGCGTGCCACTCCAAATATTCAGGAGTTAATGTTTTGTCGGTCTTGGTTTGTGTATTCATGTTGCCATTTTATGATTGTACGTCTTTTTAAATTAACAATAGTCGACAGTAGTTAGAAGACATGTTATCATTTATGCAAATATAGGTTCCCGCATAAAAAAATATTAAATATGTTTCAATTAATATAGATCCGATCTTTATTGCATAGTAATATATAGCTGGCAAGAAAATACAAATAAACAAAGCTTATACAATTATTTCAGCAATGTACTGGATCATATCAATTTCGGATGCTTCACACTTGATATACTGTAGTAGGATCCAGCCTCGTAATTACCCTCTACACCTTCCCCATCCTCATGATTTAACTTGCATATTGGGCATAATGACTCAGAATTAATTCCATAATAATCGACACCTTCATTACTATATTCATAAAATATATCGGGATATTGCTCTAATTAATGTCTTATTACGAAAATGAGTAGTTGGATTAGATGGTGCATTTACCTTAGTCTCCGGTAAAGAATTATCTTTCTCATTTATCATATTTACTGAATTAGAGGTATGAGATGATTCAGTAGGTACACTTACCTCAATATTTGATATGTCTTTTGAGCTAAATGGTTTAGTCGTGTGCGCGTGACAATTTGTCACGACGATCATTTTTGTTGATGACTTGGGAAAATCGTTTATGATGTTTCGAATTTGAGTACCCTTTTAGACTTGAAATAGCACTTGCGCTATAAGTTATTTGACTAATTTTATCAATTCCTACTCCTTCGTAGAACATATATACTCTTTTTGCCCTGGAAGTTATTTTACGCAAGTTTACATCGGTAATATCAGGAAGAAGCGATTTGATTTCATTATAAACTATTGTTCTTGCCGATTGGTCATCAATATTATTTGTGGACTTAACATCACTGACTCGATTCTCGTATGCTTTATAATAACAATACCAGCATAAGCTTTCCTTTTGTCGAACCTTCATTGCCACCCTAAATAAATCAACTATATTTCGTGATGTAACTTTACTAGATCCCGTTAAAATTGTTTCTAAAGGAAAATCAGGATTCTGGATATCAAATACTTTATTAGAATTATTATTATCTTTATTGCAAACAGATAGCTCGTGTCTCAAACCCTGTTCTACTTTTTGATTATAAGGAATTTTCAGATTTGATTTCTCTGGAAGAGGCGGAGTTTCGAGAATCTGACCGATCTTTTCATTGTGATTAAGAGGTAATCGCTCTCCTTCCTGAGCTTTGTGATATGAGGATGCTTTCACATCTGGAAGTACCTCATGATATTGAAGCTTTTTTTTCTCGATTTTTTTCTCTTATTTCGTTACTAACATTTTCTTTATGTACCCGATCCAGAAAATTATCAATTCCTATATCATCTAATGATTTAGGGTTCGCACATATAGTTGATACAGAGCAATTACGGGATAATGAAACTTTCGTTTTTTGAGTCAAAGACTCCAAATATACATCAGAATTTGAAGTATTATTAGTTATATTGGATGCGGGAGTATCATCACATTGTAAGTCCATCTGTTCAGGAGTATCTTTAGAATTTTCCATTTTGGTAGAGGCGGTATCAACCGAAGATTGATCTATATCATCATCTGATTTAACATTAGAGTTATTTTGAGACTGGCTTTGTTCCAATTTCGCAACTCTAGCAACAGTATCTTTATCGTTCTGCTCCAGTTTAGTAATAAGGTTGGTTTTTTCTTTATCTTTCTGTTCTAGTTTCTTAATTCTAGCTTCATATTCTCAGTTGCGAGCCTAGAGTTTAATTCTCTCAAGGTATTGATTGTTAACTGGTCGTTCGACATTGTTTTATTACAAAATGTGGAAATATTCAAAAGGTTAATCACACGAAAAAATTATTGGTAAAAATCGCGTTAACATGCATTTGCTTTATTGATTGTAATAAAAATCGAATCAAATCTATTATTGTTTTTATGTTATTGCCTACACTAAAAGTTTCTCGTTTGTATTGGTCTTTATCTGTTATTCGTTATCTGGCAGTTAACTAACAAAAAGGCAAAACCCGCTGAAAGTTATGTTCCTGCCCCCCTGCGACACTAATAAATTTCTCGGAAATCTGTATAAAAGAATAGTCATTAGTTTACAAGTCCAGAAGTTGATTCATTTGCAAACACGCAACCACCACAACCAAAAATCATACTTATTAGTGTAATCGTTTTATCTGGAACTTTTTCTCCAGCACCTTCTTTAAGGTGTGATACGCCAGCTTCTTTTAAGTGAGCGTATTTTCTTCTGCCATAGTATTTATGTTAGTCCAGAAATAATAGTGATTACAGCTCTTCAAAAAAAAGATCCATGACAACTACCTCTCTCCTTAGTAACCGATTAACGAAAATTACTTTTGTTTGCACATACGGTATGGCTAGTCAAACGTTTTCTGAAAAAGTAAGTATATTCTTTAGCATTAAAAGATCACATAAAAATTCCAAAAATTAAAATTAGCTAGCTCTTTTTTATAATCGGTGCGATGATACATCTCCCGAGAGTGGGAACAAGTCATAAACTTTGGAGAGGTTTCCCAAGTCCAAAGCGTAGGGAGTGTAAAAGGTGAGCATTTCAGCAAGACCCTCCTCTCTTTCTACAATACACCTCTCGAGAGTGAAAACACAAGTCGTAAACTTTGGAGAGGTTTCCCAAGTCCAAGGCGTAGAGATGGTGTGAAGGCGAAAGGATTTTTATGATACTTATCTTAATGTAGCCGAAGGCCTTAAATAATGATTGTGTCTACACGTGATGAAACCGAGACACGTAGTTGTCCAATAAAAATTTGAGAATGACGAAACGCGTACTTCTTATGTATCATTTTTTTGTATCATTTTGAGGTCATAGAAAAAGACTTTGAGTTATTTTATAATTTATTCGTGGAAATCATGGACTATAAAGTCCCCGCGCATGCAGAAATCGATACTTACTTCTCCGCGAATCCAATTTCTAAATGGCAACTTTTCGATGCGTATATAAATTTCAAGTTAGAGGACGGCCGAGTCCACACAGCATCAGAATTATTTAGGACCTTCTGTGGGTCACTAGCCTACATCGAGAGAGGTAGTTACCCCAAATTCGTTACGGAGTATGCAAAAAAACTAAAGATGGCTACGAAGGTAAACTTTTGCTACAAATTTTGCTTTTCAAAATTCGATATAACTAAACAGTAGTGTTATAGACGAAAAGAAACTTTTTCATGGAGTTTGCCGAGAAACTTATTGAGCGTGTTGAACGACGGCAATTGATGAAGGAAAATGAAATTGACATTCAGGAAAAACAGGTTCTTATATTTTTTATACAAATTATCAGTATATTGACACAACGCTAACGTAATAAATAACATTTAGTCCTTACGAGCTCAAGTATCCAAGTCGAAAGCATTGGATGATATAACAAATGCAATTATTGGAAAGCGTGTGATGGCAACGATGACGATGATGACGATAATGAACAAAAGGTAAGAACAACACCATTCATAATCATCTTAAATGTTTGCGCATCCGCTTATATATTTTAATTTAGATCAGAGAAAATTATGCTACTTCCGCGAGAGAGTCCGCGATGTCTTCATTCAACATCGAAACTAGCTCCTCTTCATTAAACATCGAAACTAGCTCCTCTTCATTCAACATCGAAACTAGCTCCTCTTCATTAAACATCGAAACTAGCTCCTCTTCATTCAACATCGAAACTAG